CACGTGCATCAGCATGGTCCGTGCGCCGCCCGCCAAACACGGGTCATCGCCCTTCTTTTCCGCCCACTTTCCCCCCACACGGTCTGAGCCGACCTTGCGATTCTGCCCTCGGTGGCCCGCGCTGGTGTCGAGGAAGGAACAGCCTGCTTTCGAGGCAGGATGGACATGGGATCAGGCGCTTCAAAAATAAAATGTGGCTGGCGGGTGGGCGCCAGCGCACGCGGCTCCTTGTACATCGTATTTGTCCGTCGTCGTGGCACAAATTTTTTATCTTCCTTGACCCGTCTCGGCGGGTCTCATGGTTGTCGTGTGCAGAGGGACAAGGTGTGTTGTGCACTTGATACTAGTAATTGGGGCTCACCCATTGTCAGTGTAATAGACGTTGTTGTATCCGTGCACTACTAATCAACATATTGCCAATTTTCCCCCAAGAATGGTGCAGTCGCCGTTATTCGACCGATCCTCTGCGTCGTCCACTATGCGCTGGCATCTGGCTGCCAACAGCGTTGTCCCGCATCGGCGTCGCGTCTTTCGCTGGTAGGCACTTGCAGCGATGTTATACAGCATTTTGCGGAACACTGGCGCTTCCAGTTGATTGATTCCCGCGGTCGCCAGCTGACTCATCCCCGCATCTTGCTTCTCACTCTCATGGACGACCCGCCCTTCCCCCGAGATCGAGCTGCACATCTTCCCTGAGGCGGCGCTGCAGCGGCCGCGGGGCATCCCAGTGTTGATGCGCGTAGCGTGGTGGGTGAAAGAGTGGTGCGTCCGGCAATGCGTACTTTGGTCCGTTTCTCTCGCTGACCAGCTGTGGCCGCCAGTGTGGAGCCGCTGCTGTACAACGTCTTGAGTCTTCGGGATCCGGAGGCTGGTCCGACTCTCAATACACCATTCCCAGTCTTGTCGCCGTCTGCCTTCAGGGCGCTCATCGAAGACCCCCCGCCGGCAGGCATTCATCGCGCAGTCGACCGGTCTGCGTCTCGACGGAGAGCTCTCCTCGTCTGAGACTAACAGTATTCTGAACTCCTGCCCCCACCTCCAAGATGTTGTCATTCTACCGCGTGGTCTCATATTTAGCACGGCAGACGTGCTCGGAACTCTGCCCAACCTCCGGCGGCTCACCACGAACCTGCTCTCGCTCTACATGATGACCGCATCTCCCGACCTCTCCCGCTCACGCGCATCACACACCTCCACCTGTCGTTCTACCACCGCTGGCCGCAAGTCTGGCCGCTCTGGCGCTTCGTGCGCTGACGCATCTCGCCATCGATACAAAGGAGTGGTACCACGACATTCTGCAGAGGGACGCCCCACCGCTCGACATGTTGCTGGACGTGCTGTCGGATCCACATCGGCGGTTGAATGTATTCGTCCTGTCCTACCACCGCGTTGGGAAGGTGCCGCTCGACGAACGCCTCATAGAGCACCCTGCGTGCCTCCTGGTCCACCAGGGGATCGGCTGGCCGGAGTGGCAGGATGAGTGGACAGGCGGCGCGACTAGTGCGGGGTTCTGGGAGCGCGTGGATAAAATGCTTGCGGAGCGTCGCTCAGCGGGCGCCCCAGGGAAATATGACAATGATTGGTAGTCCTTCTAGTGGAAAATATTCTGTAAACTATTGAATCGGAATCCTCCAAGTTATCAGTGCCTTCAAGTGCGTCCACTTCTCACACGGAAGCGTGTTGTCATATGCGCGTCTGTCACAGTCTCCTCAGTTCTGTGAAGCACACGAAATCAACCGTATGCGGCACACCTAGTACCGCGTCCCGCAGGACATTATACGCCTCCGCAACCTCGTGGAACGCCGGCGTCGAAGGACATTATACGCCTCCGCAACCTCGTGGAACGCCGGGCGTCGACTGGTGGCCGGGCACGTCGGGGTGGTGCCGCTTGCTCAGCTACACCTCCGCAGATAAGTCCCCGCACGCACAGCCGACACAGCGGAGGGACCCACCGCGAAGAAGGCCGTCTGCCAGCGTGACCCTAACCCTCAACGCGAAGGCCTGCACCGTCCTGATGCCCCGCTCGACTCGCTCGGGGTCGTTCCCGCTAGCTCCGCTCCGCGCAGGGTCCTGGGCTCATTGGACAGATGTTCTCCTGACCCCGACGGCCCGGGTGGGGACCGCTTTGGCAAGCCATACCGTGGCTGGTGGTATATACTGTTCGTGCAAGGGCGTTGCTCCGTCAAGCCTAGTTCAGGAGTGAGCGAGCGGCCGCGGGACGAGAGAATGATGTGGTGGAAGAGTGGTGCCGCTGGTGCGTTTCCTGCAGCTTCCTGTGCACTCGATATCCGACTTCCCGTCTCTGAGTTGGTTTTCCGATTTGCGATTGGAGATTCGGAGCCAGAAGGGGATCTCTGGTCATGGATTCACATCCTCGATCTTGCCATGCTGGTCAAGTTCACTTGGTGCATTGACAAGCGTCTGCTCAGCCTTGCCAGGTTGTCGCGCGAAGATGTCGTGTTCCCGCGGGTGCGACATCTTGTATTGCGGATCCAGAATTCATTGGTGTTAACCCACTCTGGCATCGAGCAGCGCTGCCGCGCACCTTCCCGGGACTCGAACAGCTGTGCGTTCAGGTCATCGATGGGCCTTATAACACAGAGATGGCCGCGAGCGAGCCAGCTTGTGTGCTTCCGTGTGTGCGCGAGCTGACCACAGCCTGCAAAGTGTTGCCTGCAGTTCTCCCATGCACACCATTTGTGAACAAACTGAAGATTTGGAATGAAGCTGCCGGGAGACTGCTGTTTACGCTCCAGCGCATCGAGAGGTATATTCCGCCCACGATAACTAACGTAGCATTGCAGTCGGATAATGGCAATTACTCCCTTTGGTCCGGGATCCTTGCCTTCTTCCCGAACCTGCGCACCCTCGATTTCCGTGTCAAAGAGTCCAGCGGTGATTCTCGGCCAAGCGAGGTGAATTCTGTCCTGTTATCTGCGGCCTTGATCCTATCAACACCGTTCTCCAGGCCCCTCACTTCCTCGCCAGCCTATCGACCATCCTTCCGCCCACTCTCGAAAGTCTCCGTGTCCATATTTGGTCCTCAAGGGCTGTCCTTCCCGGGGGCAAACGGGAAGAGTGGGATTGAGCCGTCTTCCAAGCGCGGATGAGCTCCAGGCAGAACTACTGAAAGGGTGTGGCGGTCACGGCAGATAGTTATCCGTGGGTCATTCCTGGACTTGCAGTGGACCAGCGATTGAATCTATCGCCGACTCGGACATGTGTTTGGACTCGTGCATGCCTAACTTCGATAATATTTCTTTGATTGGTAAGACGACAGGGCATTCCAGCATGTTGTCGAATAGATATGACAAGCATCAAATGACCGTTGCCGAAAACACAGTCATGGCGGGGGACAGCTCAGTGCGGAAGAGCTTGCTGGTAAGTGCACGTTGAGTGGACGACAAACTAGAGGATCCGTAGATTCAGCGCGTTAAGTACAATTGTCGTGGGCGTCAAGATACTGGCGGCAAGGAAGCAAAAGCGCGGGCCAGTGTCGTTGACGTGTCGCGCAAGAGCCGGTCCGCGAGGCGAACGCGCGACCGGAGCTACACACCAGGGGATATATGGACCGGGCCCGAGGGCTGGATTTCTAAGGCGAAGGAAGAGCCGTGGGGGGGTGGCAAACTTGTAGATGCAGCGCAGCAACGGCTAGCAACGGCGGCGGCGGCGGGCGGCGCAAAGCGGGTGGAGCAAGAAAGCTGACGAGCACGGGGAGTGGCATTCGACCATAGTCCTGGACGCACTGCCGGCCCGAGTTATGAGAACGAGCAGGGCGATGTCTGGAGTAGAAATGCACCAGAGAAATTGGGCCTCGGATTGTCGTTCAGGCGCGGAGTGGCCCGCCAGCTGGAACCCCTAGTGCAATGTGCAACATCTGGGTTATAGCCCAAAGGGGCAATGCACAACATATGGGATATAACCCAGTTTTCTCTGTCGCAAGTATTTCTTTATTAACTTTTATCTCTTTTGACTATTTTAGTGTCTTATGTCAGGTGAATGGTGATGGGATCAGTGTTCCTAATGTAGTATATTGATTGTGGAACCATTTTCCTAAGAGATCACTGATTTTGATGCCTGTGTGATCTTACATCACCCCCACTTGATTTAATATTGATTCTCTTTTTGTGCTACACTAAGCCCATAATATTACATACCGAGTCTTCGGCCTGAAGAAATGGTGATTTACCCTCCTATATATGATCTTATATTAGTCATATCATGTTCCCTTAATATAATATATCAAAATATATGCATAGCCCATATGTTGTGCATTGCCCCTCTGGGCTATAACCCAAATGTTGCTCATTGCCCCAGCTGCAAGGGGTGGGCCCGCAGGGTGCGCTAGGTATCGTCGTGCAAGCGCATCGTCGTCGTGGAGCGGAGGAAAGAAACCAGAGATTGATGTCACGGCCGCCGAGCCCGGACCTGATGCCGATCGCCAGTGCCACGTAAGCAGCCACGCCTTGTCTTCTCCTTCCATGTGCGCTGGGAGACGGTCCCGCCCCTGGTCGGAGCGCGGCACGAATGCTATGCTTGAGCCACAGCGAGTAGGAGCAGGGATGGGCTGCGACGGTCGATTTGGCGTGGCTTGAGGTGCGTGTTGTGCATTCAGTCTCTATTTCGCTGATCTACTCCCCAGTAATCCCTCACTTTTCGCTGGCGAGTCTGACACCCAGGGTGGCGGCCTCTACTGGGCGGAAACAAGCGGCGTGAAATCAGCCCGGACGGCCCGGATGGCAAGCAGCAGGGCACAACAACCGGCGGGGACAAGGTGCGTGTGCTATTTCGTCCGCGTAACTGGGTCCTGATAGTCGCTACGCGTGTTCAAGTTTTTCACGGTGCGTTACCCATGTCTTGCTCATCACGCAGAGCCAATCGCTCATTTCACTAATAGGTCTACTGCCCCCCACCGACGGCGCTCCGCCTTCCGCAGACACCACCGGCCCGTTCGCCGACGCTGCAATCGATTCCCATTCCACTCCTCTCCACCTGCCCCCATGTCCTCTCCAGTCCCCGTCTTCGACGCAAAAGCGATGCCCTTCCGCCGGTTGGGCCCCAGCGGTCTGCGCGTGCCGCTCTTCTCTCTCGGCGGCTGTCCGTCTTTGCGCATTCCCCATTGGCTTTAGCTGAGCTCTCGACAGGGCTCACCCTCGGAGGCTCCGTCGTCGGCGAGAGCGTCAAGGACATCATGCAGGCCGCCGAGAATGGGATCAACATGTTCCGACACCGCGGAGGACTACCAGAAAGGTGCGGCTGAGCGCGAAATGTGCGTTCCCTGAGATTCCCTTCTGACCACGCTTTCTCTGACTCCAGCAAAATCAGGGGACACGCTATCAAAGAACTTGGCTGGCGCCGCACGGACCTCGTCATCTCAACCAAGATATTCTGGAGCCACGAGCCAGGCACGGGCCCGAACGACACGGGGCTGTCGCACAAACAGTGCGCCACCTTCCTTTCCTTCCTACAACTCTGACTGGCAACAGCGTTATCGAGGGCACGAAGGCTTGTTTGCGACGGCTCCAGATGGACTATGTCGACGTCATCTTCGCGCATCGTTGCGATACCACCGGTGGGTTTCTTACATTCGCCATAAGGAGGTCAACTGACGCAGGCTAGTTCCGATGGAGGAGATCGTCCGCGCATTTAACTATGTTATCGACCAGGGCTGGGTGAGTGGTGGATTTTGTCTATCCATATCCACTAAGATTCACACGCAGGCTTTCTACTGGGGCACCTCCGAGTGGGCGCGCACCAGATCGAGGAGGCGCATCGTGAGCGTGTACCTCTCCCGAGACCTCCCGTCAGCACCCGCAGCACAGATGTTGCCACGCGCTTAAACCTCATCGCGCCGATCGCGGAGCAGTGCAAGCACAAGTCTGCGCCATCTTCTTTCTTCCTTCGAAATAATGCTGAGGAGACGATAGCATGTTCCACCGCGAACGTCCGGAGAAGGAATACGCGTGCGTGGGCAACCATCAAACTTCAGCAGTAGCTAATGCTGACTTTGTAGCCCTTTGTACGCCAAGTACGGCCTGGGCACAACCGCATTCTCTGCACTGCAGGGCGGACTGCTGACGGGGAAGGTATATCCTCCTCAACCCTCTAACACGTAAACTAACTTTGCTAGTACAACGACGGCATCCCAGACGGCACGCGCTCGCCACCGTGCCCATGTTCCCTGGGGCGACGGAGGGTCCCCAGGGCGAAGAGCTGCTTTGGAAAGTGCGTCTCCTCAGCCAAATTGCTGCGGGTGCGTCGTTTCTCCCCGACTTGCTGAACTCTGGGCGGAACCGCGCTGGCGCTCGCGTGGGTTGCGGCGCACCGCCACACTTCCACAGTCATCCTCGGCGTGTCCTCCGTCGCACAGCTCGAGGCGAACCTCGGGCGCTTGAGGTCCTGCCCAAGCTGGATGCTGCGGTGTTGGCGCGGATCGAGGCTGTGTTGGGTAACCACCCGCAGGAGCCGGTGCGTATTTCTCTATCCAATGATGAGGTGGATAATGCACTAATGATGTTGGTGTAGGAGACGTATGGTCGCCCGCCGCTGGATCAGGGCATCCTTTGACTCGGTGCAATATCACCCCTATCTTTCCTTTGACCACAAGATCAGCTCAAGTAAGGAAGAATACAAATGCCACTCATTCTCTCGTTTATCAATATTGAATATCTTTTGTGATCTGGTGTGCTCAATTCGTATGTGTCTATATCATGATTATGCGTCCTTTGTCCACTGGAGGTTGAGATGGAAGGGTGGTGCAAGTATCGAAATCCAGCTCAGATTGGGGCAACGGGCGAAGCAGCTGCCTCCGTAGCACTTGTCCTGTCTGCATCACCAAGGTGTCGGACGAGGAACCGCTCCGGGGCCACGGCGAGAGAACATACTCGTGTCCGAGTACTTGACTTCGAGCCGCTGCAAACCCAAGGGAAGACTAGCCGGGAAGCCCGTGAGGAAGGCGGCAGGCTGTGATAGTATTGAGTAGGGTATGGGCACAGTTCGGATGACGACACTTAGGAGACATTCACTTACGGGCGGGCACGCGTCCGGACAGCATCGTTACGGTGAAGTCGAGGGTATGCAGGTGCGGAAAATGTGCAAAGACCGCGCCCCACACGGCAAGATCGCCGTCCTCCGAGTCGCATTCGAGGGTGAGTGTCGTGATTGTCACGGGGATGCACTGCCTATTGCGCTGCAGCACGGACACTAAGCTTGTGGCATCAGCGTTTTCGACATGCAATGTGTGGATAGACGGTGCAATCCGCAGGAGGAGGGGTAAAGCTTCACTGGCTTCATACGTGGTCGTGAGCTTGAATACAGCGGGAAACAACGGTTCGCCGCCGTTAGGGCCATCCCACGGCAGCCCCGGATCGTCCACATAGAGTGCCGCCTCGACACTAAGCTGCTCAACTGCGGGAAAGGCCGCTTGCAGCTGCACACAGCCAGAGTAGGTTAGCAACGCGCCGCAGCCCTCGGAGAGTCTAAGCGCCAGGTGTTTTACGTGAGGTAGCACACTCGTAAGCCCTTCCACTGGTTGATCCATGTCCAGGCTGACCGCGGAGAGTGTGATGGGCTCAAAGAGCGCGAACCATTCTGAGAGCGTGCACGTGGGACTGTATGCTGCCGAGGTGGCGACTTTGACGCTTGAGACACGGATACGGATGTCGAGTGCGTTAATAGCGGCACGAAGGAATGCCTGGATCTCGGAGTCCACAGAACAGGCAAAGAGATCCAGCTCAATCAGGCCGCGGACCTGCGCAAGGTTGGCGAGCGCAGAGAGCGTGAATATGAGACTGTGGCCATAGAATTTGCGTAGGTTAACGAACTTGGAGATGCCGGCGAATAGCACGTCACAGATGGTGTGCGTGCCGGCTACATCGTTGAATACTGCGTCTCTGCTTCTTTCGGCGAAGCCATTCACTTCCTCCCAGGCGACATTGATGCAGTGCACATACGGCGCAATGGCGGGGGACATGAAGAAGGCCAGTTTTGCGATGGCATCCACCACCTCATGAGCAGGTGGGAGCTTAAGGATGGCGCCGCCTGACCAGGCAATGCGCTCCTCCTGGGCGCATATGGCTTCACGGCAAGCTTGCTGTAGAGGAATGGGCGGGCAAGCAGGCGCAGGCGACGAGAAGCAAGAGCGACGAGCTTGAGCTGGGCGGGCGACACATCTTTGAGCACTTCGTGAAAGAGTTCGTTCGGAAACATGGAGCGACCAGTTGCAGCCAAGCTGGAAGTGAAGAGAGGAAAGCGCTGCCACATATTGACAGCGCACACGTGTGCCCAGCCAATCGGCGTGCCCGGCGCGGAGCTAATCATGATGTGATCGCCCAGTCACATCTTACGCAATCGCCTCCCTTTTTGTTCCTGACGCCCATCTCGACGCACAATGCCAGCCTTTGCAGCACACCTGCGGCGCCAGCTGGCGCAATGCTACGGCAACACTAACCGATACGCATGCGCCAACCACCCCTTCTCCAGTCGCCAACTTCTCCGGGAGTCTAAATCTGTGGCGACACTGTGCTGCTGGAGATCTTTGCCTGGCGTGTTACGCTGTCCTCGCTTTCCCGACATCACTGACCGAGCGCGCACCTTTTTTACAAGCCCACTCTTATCCTAGCTTATTCTCTGTCTTCAGACACCAGTCATCAAATCGACCGTATGCTCTACCCGAGCAGGAATACTAGCAACTGCCTCGGATTTCCCAACCGAACTTGGACCGCTGCCCGCGGTATGCAAAATGTGGTCTGGGCCATACTGGATTCTCCTCCCGCTGCAAGCTTGGACCTTGGCTTGTGCCCAACCACTGGCAGTCCTTTGATGCCCGCGCCGCAGCCACCTCAGCTTCCTGACGCCCAACTCGGTCAGCACCATCTTGCGCACATCGACAATGATCATCATCTTCCAGCATATGGACCTGCCGCTGGAGAGTGGTCATCTTCGGATTTGTTCCTCCACTCCGGTCCGGTATTTATACTAATAACTATGCAGCGTGTGTGCAACAGCACTGTCGAGGACACGAATTAACTCGTCTCGATGCAAAATGCCAGCCTCAGGGGCAGATCTACGCAACACTAGCCGATACACATGCCCCAACAACTCCTTCTCTGGATGCCAACTTATTCGAGAGTCTAAATCTGTATTGAGACTCTCCGCTGAGACGAAATTGCTAACACAGGACTTACACCGGCGCATCGATTCCGACTCTGTGGGTCCGGACTTGGCAAATCAAACGTCGACGCAACTTGAAAGCTCACGCTAACGGGTCTGCGCGCTGGCCATCCGGAGACGATCGTGCCCCGTGGTGCTGCTTGCCATCCGCCTCAGCGCTATGGAGGATAATCCGTACACCTGACACAATATCACACCAGGCGCCTGCCAGGCTACCGATTCCGCGGATTGGTGGCCGCCGCGCTGCGGTTGGCTTATGCCCAACTGTGGCCGGGCCGTGGATGCTATCGCTGCGGCCCGTCAGCTTCCCCACGACGATCTTAGCTGCCGACCGGCGCATCGACATCAACTCGACGACGCCGCTGAAGAGCATCCTAACTCGGAGGCGTGTTCGAGCTGCCCTGACGTCATTGGCGTCTTCATCAAGATGTTCTGGAGCGGTGGAGCAACAACACGGACATGGGCTGTTTGCGCAAGCAGTGCGCTATCTTTATTCCTCCACTCTGCACCGGTATTCATGCGATGCAGCCCGTGGGCAACAACGCTGTCCATTAGCGCCTCCAAATGATGCGCGCAGCAGATTGACCTCGGAGAAGCCGCACTGTATACTTCTCCAATGCTCAGTGTGCTCTTCCACCTTATCGGTCTTCTGAAAGCACTGATCAACCGACAGTGTGTTCCACCATACTGCATCTGCATTCGACCCTCAAGCATCTATCCCGCGCGGCCCATGTTCTGCGGGATCACGGACATGCCGTCCGCGCGGCGCGGCGCACTCCTCAGCCCGCCGGCAGGTGCGTCGCGGATGGGGACCCACCTGCGTACCGTTTTGTTGACGTCGGTGGGGCACCGGACTGGTCCCGGGTCCTGCATCTCGTCTCCTGCCAGGGACGCTGTTCGTTAGCCCCGGGAGAGCGTCTTATGTGCCTTGAGCTGCTTAATTGCCAAATTAATGTGTGGATGCATCAATGGTCCCCGCGTGCGGCGACAGATACCAGCGGCGGAGCTAGCTCCACACGTAGCCTGTCTGTGTCCTAGTCGGACACCATCATCTGTCTCCTTCACTCCAATGCCCAGTGATCCACTGAGATCAGCACTGAAGAGCCTCGTGGATTTTTACAAAGAGATGTGCATATGGGCATGGTCTAATACCTCAGCTGCAGGAGCGGAACCTCAATCATGATATGATGCATTGACGGGCAGCGTGAGCGCAACTGCGCCAGCAGCCTGTCGGGGTCGGGCACCGCGAAGTTCGCGTTCGGCGCAATCACTGTGTCCGCGTCGGACTGCCGGGATGACCTTCCCATCACACTGAGCCCTTTAAGTGTGGACGGAAGACGCGGAGGCAGTGACGCAACAAGGGCCAATACCTGCGACTTCCAGATCAGTGTAGGATACTGACCTATTTCATTCAATTAGGCGGGTCACGGTCACATCGGATTTTTTGGCCGAAATATTTCGGCGGGTCACGGGTCACAGCCAAATCTTTTGGTCCCAAACTGTCCTAATCGGGAAGATTTCGAAATTTTCGGCGCCTGCGGCGCGCCGAACTTCCCAATCGGGTAATAGGTCACGCGAAATTCGGCCTGTGGCCGAATTGGACATTTCGGCCAAACGGTCACGGGTCACAGGCCCGCTGAATTGATCGAAATGGGTCAGTATTCCCTCCCCCCAGCTCCCCCACACACACCAAGCAAGCAAGCAAGTAAATAATCACCACGACTCAACATTGAACTCCCCCACGTGACGGTGCTAGCCCAAGCCAAAGCTTTTGATACCTGATGTCACGCATCACACCAGACCAGTCTTGAGGCTTGGAGTTGGTGCAAGTCCAACCTAAGCTCAAGTTAACTTCAAGGCCCATTGAAACTGGGCCTGACCATAGTCATATGCCTGTCAGGGGAACCCCCACTTCGGCCTCCTTCAGACCATCCGAGCGCATCCGAGGCACATCCGACCGGCGCCCCCTCGGACGCTCCGACCTACCCCAACCCTCGTCCTCGGCCTCCTTCGCCCGCACAATCACTGATCCGTCAAGACCCTCCCAACGATCACCTTGGGACAGAGCCTGCAACGCCGCTCAGCTCAGGCTTTCTGCGCTCTACGTCGGCAGTTACGGACGACCAGTATATAGTTGGCGCCCTAGCAGGCAGACCCTTAGAGTTTCTTCTCTTTGGATCCTCCCCTGCTAGGTCGGTCCCTCCGTGTATTTCCTGTAGCTTTTATTCACGTCTTGGATCCTCCCCTGCTAGGCTTTCGTCGGAGTCTCCAGGGTTGCCCTTACAATGCCATCCAGACAGCTGGTAGACCGACTGTGCTATGCTGCTGGTTCGCCGCCTGTTAGTGTTACTCAGACAATTGCTGAGTAAGCAGTGTTCTGAAACAGTGTAACGCTG